AAAATGAACATTATATATATATATATATATATATTTTTTAAAGTAAATAGAAGAAAATGCAGAAGAAAAGCCATCATATACAGTTATATGTCATGGCAATGTCACCCAGAAATGCTATTGGGTTTACACAACCAGTACAAATATCTTGGGTCTCTACACCTCCTTTAATCCCAAACCTGTAAACAAGTAAAATCCACCCTATCCCATTTGTCTTTCCATCTTTATTTCATGTTAAAAGGCTTCTGCACCCAAATGTTGGATTATTTTTCTTGTTTATTGAGCAACACAGTATTCAGAGACCACCACTGGAACATCCAAAAGCAGTCCAACTGAGGGGTGGGCAAACAAAAACGCTAACAGTCCCAACATAAAACTGGGAACTGCCTGAAGGACCTTATGGCCGAAGCTGGCATCAGATAAGGCCTGAACATCCACCTAGCATAGAGCTCTTCCGCAGCTGATTTAGGCTGCCAGATCAGCTGCAGAAAAGCTCTATGCATTCTTACACGCTGGACAAAAAACAGCATCCAAATATCAATCCATCTCATTCCTTATACATTTTCCTCCTTAGTAAGCCCTGATGAAGCAGTCATTTGTAACCAGGGTGAAACAGGATGGCTTTTACTACACTGTCCCCCTACGCACAAACTTAAAATCCCACTGAGTGACTGGTGAATACACATGGGAAGCCACGAGTGGCACCCTGTACAAAAGGTCATAACCGAACATTAGGAGGCTAGCATTCTTTGGAAAAAGATTGCAAGTACAAAGATTTGCCCCTTGATGGTACTCAGGGTAAAAAGTGGAGTCATGCCTAAAAGGTCAGGATTCATCCCACAGAGTATTCTCTGGGATGAAGATTTATTTCTATGCACCAAGCGAAGTACGTTTTCCATGTGTAATGGTATACCTTGCCTAAAGTGAACTTTCAAAGCTTTTAGCATCATAGGAAATTACGGATTTGGAAAGACCCCTATCCCTCAGGACCTGAGCGACAGGGGTGTTCGAGTGACCTAGTGATCAGGTCAATTCAGAGCCAATCAGGCCACCCTCTATTCAGAATGTCCAGCATTTTAAGGACAACTAAATTGCACAAAGCTCCAGAATGTTGGTCGGGTGGTGGGATTCATTCGGTGTCCAAGGTCCCTGTACTAACAAGGTGGCTATAACTCCTCACTGGTCTGTCACGTTGGCATCTGTTGTGATGAGCTTCTAAGAAATTGGAAGGAAGTATTTCACCAACTCCAGAGCTTGATTCCTGAGTGAACAGGCCGGAGATAACCTGGTCCTTGGTGACAGCCAAATCGGGGCAGCCCGTGTTCTGCTTCTCCTAAGCCTAGCTTGTTGTGGGCCGAGCAGTGGCTGTGTGCTAGGAATGGTTGGTGCTGTGTGTCACCGCTATCGCTGGAGCTGCGTCCCTTTGGTAATGCGGACCTGGGCTCGCGTGCCAGCACAGGGGGCCCGGTGTGCCCACTCTGGCACGCGTGCCATAGGTTCGCCACCGCTGGCTTATACCATAGTCACTGTCTGATACTCATAATATTCACTTCACTAAAACATAGTGTTTATGTCCCACTTATAATTACTTTGATTTCTTGAAAATCAACATGGGTAACAGTCCCCACTGCCCACAGATTGACTAGAGTCATGATACAATTTGCATCTTCAGATTTTTATCTTTTATTCTTGTATGGCCAGCGACACTGATTACCAAGAGATTGCAGATCTGGGCATGTGCAGTGAGCGTTTTAGTTCCTCGACATGCCCCCTAGACTCCTAAAATTTTCTGATGTAGGCAAGGCAGGTTTCCTCCCACCAATACTAGAAAACGACTAATTGGCTACACATCGCTTCAACATACTGGTTGCCATGGCTGCGTTGGCCAGCACCAGATGTTCCAGTGCACTGATCGGCATCAATTCTTAATCTCTTAACCGCTTAATCACCAGGGATCAGTGGACACCAAGGATACTCCTACGAGCTACATAATGGGAGTAGAGGCATACCTATTGAGCAGTTTGAGAGGTATACTATTCTTCTGGAATGTGACGTCAGTATGGCATCAGGGGGTGTTTTTTTTCCTTTCAGACTTCACTTGTTAATTGCACCGGGTATATTATTGCTGTTATTTACACTTTGCCTGACGAAGGGACCCTGCTCAGTTCTGAAATGTTGCAATTTAATTTTATGCTGAAAGAACTTTAAAGCTAAAAGGCGTGCTTTCAACATATCGTCTACTAGTATGCTGAGGCATCATCCACCAGTTGTTCCAGCACCCAACTAAAAGGGGTATATTGGCATGGTGTGTGAAGCAGATATCACCACGATCAGTGCAGAACCCAGTGCCCAAAGTTCACATTCCAGGCAGATGCCCAGCATTGTTTGGGTAGGGCCTGAAAAGCTATCTTAAACAAAAAAAAAAAGAGGAAAAATAGCTAATAAAAATGGTTATATTTCATGGAAAGGTGACTATCATCATCTAGGCCACTAGCTAACTAATAAATGTATGGCTCTCTGTATGGTCATGAAAGACCATGCTCACCTTCTCATGGAAATTTTAGATACCTGGCCATCTCAAGAATCCTGTCACACCTGGAACAAGCTGTAGCGAGTGGAGTCAGAACTTCATAAATGCATAATTGTTAGTTTTCCTTTAAGAGCAACAATACTTTCAAGGCAATGGTTAGACGTGGCAACTGAGCAAAAAATCAAGGCGAGTATATCCTGTCATATAAAAGATGCAAGCTTTTTTTTAGTATGCCAATACAGGAAGCGTTTTTGGCACTGACCAACTTTGTACCATTGAGTTATTGTGTAACACAGTCTTAAGACAAGAGTACCTTAAAAAAAGCCCCACCAAATTTGAGTTTAATAGCAGACCTCCTTGAGCAGAAATCTGTGATATTTTACAACAGTCTTATTATGCATCTTATTATGCGCTCTAAAAGGTTGTAAGAAAGAGTAAGAGTAACTTATGCTTGCAGTTGAATGCCCCTGCAATTAAAAGCACAGCAACTCAAGGAATGATAAATGCAGAGAGGTTTGAAGTCGAATCATTCCATGCGTACACTTCTGCATCAGAAGTCATGCACAGAAGGAATATGCGGTGAATTACTTCTGAAATAGTTGCTGCCACACCATGCCAGTGCAGATTACTTTGTTACGCCAGTATGGAATGGTATGGAAGTAGCAGAAAGCAGTGACAGCAGCAAATGCAGTCAATACATTTATCTGCTAAAATCCAGACCTTTCACCTTGTACGTGTTTGGAAGGAGAAAGAGGGACAGAAAATCACTTCCACCTTGACCATTGCTTCTCTTTGTCTGTTAAAGGCACATAGATCACCCCCATCAGAGGTTTCATTTTGACACTTCCATCTTCTAACTTGTCATACTGCTCCAACATCTGGTTTCCTCCAGCTGGTCCAACAGGTAGTATTAGTCTTCCCCCAGGTTTAAGCTGATCTATAAGCTGGAACAGCAAAACATAGCATTTCAGACACGATTATACAGTTAGTCAAACATGCTTCTGGCATGGAGTCAAAAAACAAAGCAAGCACAAATGTATACTCTTAAAACACTGGCGATTCAGTTTAGCTACTTTTGCGATAGCTAGGTAAACCACAGCTATACTGAAGGGACTAGCAAATGTGTGCCTATTTGTTGGAAAGTGCATAACACAGAATGGAGAATACATATTTGTACATTCTATATTTTTAGCACTGAATGGAAAAAGAAAAAGTGAAGTGGTTGTGTGTTGTTAAATGGAATAAGTCCTTTAGGATATATTTTGATGCATGCTATTTAATACCTTCAGGTGGCCAGGAATGGTAATGCAGCATGTTTCTATCAGTCCAAGTGGGTGTGTGGGAGTTGCCAGTTAATGTGGGGAGTGCACTGAACAAAGCTACACAATGTGATCTTTTATCTGTACAAACACAAGTGAAACATGTTGGGACTTGCTTTAAAGAGACTGGAAAGGTGCCACCAGGGCATACTGGGACCAGCAAATCTAGAGATACTGGAGAAGTGCCACCAAGAAATGCTGGGACTTGTAGATCTAGAGAATTTTACCTTTAACATTTTCAGAAATGACAAGGCATGTCTTATGGCTAAAAACATTGATGCTAAATAACTGCGTTTTCTGAGTATGCTTATCATTGCACAAACAATAATATAGGCTGAAAATATCTAGCCATAAATAGATGAACATAAAACAAAAAAACAAAACCCTACTTGTGAGTGGATAACCAGATTTTCAGGATGGGGTGGCAGCACATTATCCAGAAAAATAAGGATTTTTTGACAATGCCAAACTGAAAACTGTAGGCCAGCCCACGGTATAATCCCTCGGTTTTGTTGCAAACAGTAACAGGCTAAAGATCATAAAACACAGAGAAGGGGAAGGCGGCGGGGGTTTGGTTATTTGGACCAAGCTGGCAGCCAGGCGGGATGCGGCTGAGTTGTCAGCTGGGTGGGGATGATGGGGAAATGCTGTAAGTCATGTATCTGTGTCTCATGAATGGCCCAACACTGATGAGCAGCCCCACTAGCCAGGACTTAGACAAAAGACCAGCAGAATGCAACATAAGAACAAACTTAATTATAAAAAAACAGGGTTATTTTAAAATAAAACGATAATGGTTTCAAAAAGATTAAATAAGTTGGACGTTCAATAAGTGGACATTAAAACTATCACTTTTTTTTTTTCTTAATTGGAAGAAAAAAGTAGTTCCATATTGGGCTAAGCAGCCATTTGTGAGGTTAGACGTTAATTTAGGAAATCTTTAAAAAGCACAAAATCAGTTCTTGACGTACACCATATTTCAGTCTCCCGCATGGGTCATTTGGGTAAACTATGCTTTATATGTCATTTCAATGGCAATGACCTTTTACCAAAACTACTTTTAAAACCAATGCTTAATCTTGGAGTACTCTTTCCGTCTCTGACACAGTGAGGGGAATTTATCAAAACTGGAGCAGAGAAAATCTGGAACAGCTGTGCACTGCAACCAATCAGCTTCTCTCTTTCATTTTCAAATCTTAACTGAAAAAAAATGGAGAGAAGCTGATTGGTTGCCCTGGGCAACTGATCCAGATTTTGTCTGCTTCAGTTTTGATAAATTCCCCTCAGTGAATAGTACTGCTGAATTGGATCTCACCAAATAGATTTATCAACTTGTGTTTATCTAGAAGTGGTTTGGTGTGTTCAGTCTCCAAGGGTACTAAAGTGCATTGTTTTCATCTTCTCTATACAATCCACCATTTTCTTATTACACACACTTGCCAAAAGTATTGGGACACCCTTCCAAATCATTGGATTCAGATGTTCCAATCACTTCCATATAAAAATCAAGCACCTAGGCATGGAGACTGCTTCTACAAACATTTGTGAAAGAATGAGTCGCTCTCAGGAGCTCAGTGAAGTCATGCGTGGTACCGTGATAGGTTGCAATAAGTCCATCTGTGAAATTTCCTTGCTACTAAATATTCCACGGTCAACTGTTAGTGGTATTAGGGCTGCAGCTAACGATTATTTTCATAATCGATTAGTTGGCCGATTATTAAGTTCGATTAATCGGATAAAAAAAAAAAGGCTCATTGAAGCACACAGAAGTCGCCAATTATCAGCAGAGTCTATAGCTTCAGACCTCCAAACTTCGTGTGGCCTTCAGATTGGCACAACAGTGTGTATGCAGCTTCATGGAATGGGTTTCCTTGGCTGAGCAACTGCATTCAAACCTTACATCACCAAGTGCAATGCAAAGCGTCGGATGCAGTGGTGTAAAGCACGCCGCCACTGGACTCTAGAGAAGTGGAGACGCGTTCTCTGGAGTGACCAATCACGCTTCTCTGTCTGGCAATCCGATTGACATGTCTGGGTTTGGCGGTTGCCAGGAGAACGGTACTTGCCTGACTGCATTGTGCCTGGCCCCTTAGTTCCAGTGAAGGAAAGGCATCAGCATACCATTTATTTTTATTTTTTTCACCCCACACTAGCAGCAAGAAAATGAATCAATACTTACTGCTTGTGGTACAACAGGTGCTGCTGCCCCAACGTGAATAGCATCATAAGGTGCCTCTTCAGGAAGGCCCATTCGTCCATCACCAACTGATATTTATAAAAGAATTTAAAAAAAAAGAAAATATTACATTTTTATATGTAAACTGGACTACTACACAACACAGAAAAGTAGAAAATGTCTTAAGTTATTTTAGGTCTTGTATGTGAAAGTGACCAAACTTGAAGTAGTAAAACTTTTTTTTTCAATAATGAATTCAGATGAAAAATATAAATTGCCCAACAAAGTATTTCTTTCCATATTTGCCCAGTTATGTTTTTGAACAGCTGACTCCAACTCTCAGCCCGGCTTCCCAGAACTTTTTGTTTTGTACAAGTTTGCGAGGACAGCAGTCTGCAGCAGCTCTTCATCTACTAGCTTAGAGAAGTGGGGTGGGGCAAGGGGGAGGGGAGTGGATTGCTATGCCACTGTGCTTGTGGAGATACACACAGTTTACTAGTACACACAAGGGTGGCACTTATAGGCCCCTGCAAAGGAAATGAACCACCCTACAACATATCAGGGCCAGTGCTCTGAGGACTAGCTGATAATACAGAAAAAAAACCAAAAAAAAAACCTGTTTAAACGAGTAGTAGCATAAAATTATAAAGTGATTTAATCAGCATTTGAAACAGCTTGAAAACCTATTGACTTTAATATAACTTTAATCAATTTGTTGAAAAACCTTATTAGTGTATAGCTTGTATTTATTTGTGTACATGGATGAAGCCATTTTATACAGTCTAAGAAAAATCGGGTTTCTTGTTTAGTAGTGCTGCACATCAGTCATGCTCTACCTCTATTACAATAAACATTTCACTTGCCACAGTAGAAACTAGGCGGCTTATCCAGTGACTGTTTAGCAGTCATTCATCAAGGGCCCTGACTGGTATAGAGCACTCCTACAGATCTGTATATGAAATACCATCATAACAGTAGAGCAGCAAACAAGTGAAAGGCATCAAAAGCTACCTTTAGGTAGTGTATGTCTTTTTTTTTTTAGATGAGTTGGGGAAAGAAAAGGAACCAGTCTGATTACTGCTAACCCTTCCCCACCCTAGCAACTAGACTATTGGGTATACACATAACGTAAACAATGTATTTCTTTACAATACACTACAGTAAGCAACAATTTCAATGAACACTGTGCTTATGATCAATCATGACATTTATAGAATACCTCATAGATCTGAAATTATCCAAGCATAAAGACTTGATATTACTGGTCTCTCCTTTTGGAAATGCACGTTTCCTGGCTGTCATGCCGAACCCTGAAAGTTGTGCGAATAAGAACTTTTGACTCTTTTTGTACTTTCTTCATTTGCATAGTTGTTCCAAAGTCAGGGGTCCAACGTATTAAAGCCATTAGTCGGCATTATATCTAAGCATCTAGGAATTTCGGAAGGAGGTCAATAATGGCAGCCGACCGCCTCCCTCCTTTCATGGCACCTTTATTGTAAGCCTAATTAGTGTTTGCAAACATCCAAGAGCTCCAGGAGGTTGTACTTAAAGGAGAACGATGGGGTCATGGCTTTTCCCCATAGATCTCCTAAGGGTCACGGGAGAACACAAACTAGCGTCCTCCCATGACCCAAAGCTCAGTATACCGCGAGCTGCAGGTGTTTGGAGAGGTCAGCTTAATCCATCTAGCAATTGTGCTCTTTGAGGCTCCACAACCTTTTCTTCTACCTGAAAACAGCACAAAGAGGCTGCTTGAGTTCCCCCAAGACTTTGTTTTTGATTGATCCTCCAGGACACATCTTCTAACATATATCCCTTGCCAATACTTTTTACTTATCGTTCGCGGTGTTGGTAGCAAAAGAAGGAACAATGACTTCTTGTGTCCTATGAAAGGTTGAAACTACAGTGGGTAAGAATGCTGGATCCGGTCTTCATATAATTCTGTCTGGTAAGATCGTGCAGTATGGCCCAGCTATGGGGAAGACATGAATTTTTCTGACTCTACGGGCTTATACTAATGCTACCAGGAGGCCAATTTTGAGGTTAGTGTCCTGATGGAACAGTCCTGAATAGGTTCAAAGGGTTTTTTTTTATTTTTTTTTATAAACCCCTGTAGTACTACTGAAATGTCCCAATTTGGAAAGTTTCTGCTCCCAG